TCTCAGTGCTGTGCTTTAACCCACTGTGCCACCAGGGAGGGCCCTTCACATATACTTTTAAAGTAGCTGTCTCAAAAGACAATATAGTGATAGTATAAAAATACTTTAAAAAGTATCCTACTTATTCCTATTATCTAAACACATTTAGTTTTTAATATATAAAAATCTGGTTCTTTATATTTTTATCTTATTTTATTTTGGTTTACAAAATACATAATTTCAGTTAGTGTTAATACTATTATATTTTCTGTTGTTTAAATCTATAACATGTCTTTCCAAACTTCTACATAATCATTATATTATTGCCTGCTAAGTCTACAATTTCCTTTTCTTTCATAACAACAAATTCATATATTCTGATCACCAAAAAATGTCTTTCAGAAATATTTTTTGTTAAGCATTCTATCTTTAAATCTGCATAATAAATATTTAAATCAGTTTATGTACTCAGACATTTTTACTTTTAAAATTAACTATCTTATGTTTTGCTTGCTTTATATATATTACATGTTTTAGACTCTCCCTCCCTTTAGTCTTCCTTCAGTAAATATTTATAATCAGTTTTTTTTTATGTTTCAGGAACTATGTTAGGTGTAGGGTATACATTACCCTATAATATAAATAACATGGTATGTAATACTCCAAACTCTTGAGCAGTAAATTCTAGAAGCACATAGAAGAAGCACAGAGTAGTCTATGGAGGAGGAGACGGAACCTGGGAAGGTTTCTGAAAGAAGTAACCTGCAAACAGTGAGATTGAATAGAACTGGTGAGAATTGAATGAAGGTTTGAGAGATAGAGGCAGAGAAAAAGTAGCATGTATGAAGGTTGGAGATGAGAGAAAAAGCAGGACTTTCAGGGGTCGATGAGTTGTTTGGTGTGCCGGAGAGGGTAATGCAGAAGCTAGGGGCTACAGACGATGCTGATGATGTAAGCAGAAGTCAGATCATGAATAATTATGGTGATATGTAAAACTTTAATATTAGTGTCATTTTCTAGGTACAATTATAAGCACTTTACGTGCTTCTAACAGTTCTGTGAGGTAGGTACTATTACTAACTATAGGGCCCTTGTATGCTATACTGGGGATCTTTAGAATCTATAAAATGGGTTGAGATATATGGGATAAATAAATAGACAGTTGCCAGACTATGTCAGTAGAACTCTTGCCTACCACCTTTGCAAGGAGCAACCTAGGAGGCCATGTTACACTTTTTCTTTTTTAAGATTTATTTATTTACGCATAGAGAATTGGGGTACAGGCCAGAAGTGCAGGGCAGTGAGAGGGTTCACCATAGTCAGAGTGGGAAGCAGAACAGCAGACTGAGGAACTACACTGCTGAGGGGAGCAGCAGGCGAGACAGGAAAGGTCTGCCAGGCCTTGTGGATCACCACAGGGGCAGAGGATACAACTAGTACCCAAGCCTGCCGCGGTCAGCTACACAGTGCTGCATGCTGTGCTTTAACCTGCTGCGCCACCAGAGAGGATCTGCAGTCACAACTTCTGCAGCAGTTGGCTCATAACAGTCAACTGACCAGAGTCTGGTCTTTGACAGTTAGATTCCCCATTTGCAACTCAGTCATTAAATAGAAAAATCCAAATAAGTTTCCCAAATCAAAAAAAAACTATGTTGCTTTTCTAGACAGCCAGCCTCTCCCTAGCAACAACCTCCAACCATAACATATTAGGAGTTTTCTGTTTCCCTTGTTTCACTATTAAGCTTCCCTGGGTGACTTGGAGTCCCTGCCAAATGTAGTGCTGGCTGTTTCTAAAGCAAGTTCTGAATAAATACCCTCATTTGTTCTCTTTGTGATAACCTGTATTTATTTCCATGTTTTAATCACCTGATATAAGAGTAAAAAGATAATTTTGTTTGCTGAATAGACTACTGAAGGTAGGTGAGATATCAGTATATAATTCAGGCCTTGACTAAGATGGTGGCTACTGGGATAGACAAAAGAGAATGGAATGAAAAAACTCAAGGAGGTTGAATTGGGGAAAAAAGAAAAGAGGTGAATGACTGACTCCATGAAATTATGTAAGTGATGGCACCTTTTGTTGAGAGAGGAATGTTGAAGAGGTTTGTGTTGAGATTGAAGATGAATTAAAACTGGGGCTGAGATTTTTACATCATATGTTTAAAATAATAATTGGAGGAGTTGTGGTAAATGAGATCACACAAGCTCTGTGTAGAAGCAAAAGAGAACACCCAGATGTAAACATAAATATAATTGCTATTGTTATTCATAAGATGTTTATGGACAATTATAAAAACATTTAGCATAACATAAGATCAAAAGTTTAATAAACTGCCTAGAAGAAAATGAGACCTCCAGTTCAAACTATAGGATGAACTTATGGTCCCGCTTCCCCAAGGTTTATTTCAAAAGGGAAAAATCTTGCTCATTTGCTACTTAGTTTAGGAATAGGAACTAAAATTTATTGTTGTCCTTTTATGTATCTAGTACTTTATATCTCAATAAATCCTCAAATATTCCACATAAAGGTGGCATTATTGCCTCAGTGAGAAACTGGGGCCTTGAAACCTTACCAGTTAAGGTCACATAGCTAGTAAATGGGCTCACAAACAGGTTTGTCTGATGCAGGGACACTAATTCTTCACACCACAGTTCTCTACCTGACTCCTCAACTGACGAAGGACAGTCTATCTAGCCATTATTCCAAAAATGGGGTAGTTTAAGGATACACAGTCCAGGGCAATATTAGACAGTGGCAGGCTGTGACATCAATGAACAGACTGTGGAGGTTCCCAGAGGCTCTTAAAGGGAGAGCAAATTTAGCAAGCAAGCTCTGCCTTGATACCTATGCAAGCACAATTTTACATTTACTCTATAACTATTTTTATTGAGGGCCTACAGATTTTTAGTGAATGCCAGACATTGTTCTGGGCGCCAAAGATGTGATATTATATATTCAACAAATTAGATCTGCTTTTAGAAAGAATTTATATGCTGTGGGGGAGGAAAAAGTAGTAAATTATATAATGCAGAACAATATAGTAATGCTTTGCCCCAAAGTGGTCTGTAAAAGATTCACAGAGAAGGTAACATTTCAGCAAAGTCTTTGAAGGGGTAAGGGGACAAGCCGAGACTGTGGAGAGAAAACTTCCAGGAAGTAATGTATCAAGTATAGGAGGCAGGCGTGGTTGAGGAGAAGCCAAGAGGCCGGTGTGGTTGGAACACAGAAGCTTTGCAAGCGATTTCCTAAGGACTTAAATTTTTACTCTGAGTTTAAAGTAGAGGAGGGGAAGGACAAGCATGAAGCTATATTTCCCACACTTAAGGAACCCAAAATCTAGTGAAGAAATAAAATTTAGACAAATGAAGCAGTGATTAACACAAAATAAGTGATATTTAGGTGAGAAATTGTAACTCAGACCTAAGACTCCACCCACTTGTGAGAAGATCTGTGAGGGGGAAAAAAATGGGATGTGTTTCCTATTTGGGAGTACTCTATATTAGATTCTAGAGGTTTGGTAAATTTAAATTCTAAAGTTAGGGTAAGATTTAAATTCAAAAAAGAGGAAAGGATATCCAGTCAATAAATATTTAGTATCACCCCTTCATACAAGTATTGTGCTGAGTGTTATTAAGAGTCCCTGTGTACAAGGTATTGGAATACTGAGAGATTATGGGTGACACTACAGAAAAAAATATAAGATTTCTGTCCACATGGAAGTTGCACTCAACAGCACATAGAGTACAAATAAAGTATAAATTATATGCTGAAAAATCTTAAACTAGGACAGGAAGTGAAGTTGAGGCTGTGGGGATGTCAGAGAGACTTAAGCTATCATCTAATTCAGTGGTTATGTGGTTAAAAATCCCCTGTAGGAGTTTTCTCAGAGTCCCAGACTCCACATTGGGGATTCTTACTGGGCAAATCTTGGGGAGGGCCCACCTATCTAGTTTTTTTTTTTTTAAAGCTTCTCAGATGACTGTGAAAGTACACCAGGTGAGAGGTGCTAATGAAAGAAAAGGAGAAAAAGAAGGGGAAAAGGAGAAAATACACAGATATATACAAAGGAATGCATGTTTTGTTTTACTTGGAATATTGTGGGCTGTTTTGACAATGACCCCTTGATATCACCACACTGTCCCCCATCCCCATCTTTTTATGCTAGACTTGTCTACCACATATAACCTTGCCCTCCCTCCACCCCTTTCTTACACATCAAATAAAGAAAGAATCAGATACCAAATTCACCTGCTTGTCTGGGGCCATGCTTGGGATAACAGCAGTAGTGTGGAGCACCCTTGCAGCCTTGCAGGAGTGGAGAGCTAGTTACTTACTGTTCCTCAAAGTTCTTCTCCCCGCCCAGATTGGAATTCTTCCACAAAACCGATTAGATAAATTCCCCTAACACCTGCTCCTCTCCTTGTGCAAGTGTTGTTGCTGCACAGGTTATTGTGTAAATGTCTGGCAGTCCTCAGAGAACTCATCGCTATTCCCAAAGTAGAAGAGGTCCCCAGTCAACTGACCACTCCCAGGGAACTCTCCAAGGCTCAGGATGCGGACGCAGGAGACGGGGTTCCTGACGCAGCCTGAGACCTGCGAATCCTCAACGGAAATTCCCAGAGTGGCCCCAAGCCATTAGTGTGGGGAGGCAGCGTGGATTCCTCCATAGAATTCACATTTTAGGGTGTGGTCATTACTCTTTGGGAGAAGCCTCAAAACCCGAATACGAATGGACATGTAAGTGAGAGTTCCGAAGTGAAATGTCTCAACAGACCAAATCGAAAGAATGAACTTTGTATTCATAACAAAAGTAACTTAAAACCCAAACAGTAGTGCAATAAAATCCCTCTTTTTTTATTCTCTCAAACTCTCTTACCCACCCCACAACTAGCTTCCAATTTCATATAAAAATGAGATGCTTAATCTCTAACGTTAACTGCATTTCCTACTTTCTGGGCGTAGTAGCAACGAATTTAGATGTGGGAGAATTCATGTTGATATCAACAACATCACTTGCAAGTAAAAGCTCAGAGCAAGCAAATTGGTCTCCAAATCCTTGTTTTCGCTAGTTACGACCTCTTCCTCCCAAGCCCTTTACGGTGAAGCTTTCCTAAGAGAAGCAGAAAGCCTTGCCTACTCAGTTTAGTGGGAAACTCCGGGAGGACCACGCGGCACGATTCCCCAGGCAGGTTGGTTGACGACAGTCAACCCCCCTCGCAGGTGGCGCAGTTCTCTGGGGGAATCAGCTTTGCGCTTGGAACCTGTCCCGCGAGCTACCCTTGGTTGCATTCGGACCCCATTTCCCCCTTTGTCACCCCAAACCCTGTCCCCGCCTCCAGATCCCACCCTTTCCGCGCCTCCCCAACCCCGCTTCTCCAAGCACAGACGCTGTCCGGTACTTGCGCCTCTTCGCCTTCCGTCACCACTCCGACCACTGGGATTTGGCGAGGGCTGCTGGATTTGTTCCTGCTGCCCTGTTCCTGGGCCTCAGCTGTCGCCGCGGCCTCTGCAGTTGCTGTTGACATGGCTGAGGCGGCCGCGTGAGGGATGCGGGTCCTCTCGTTCCACACAATGCCCGCAGTCTCGGGACCAGAGACCCCTCCGCCGACAAGGGTAGGTCGTCTGACAGCCGCTAGAGTCGCAAAAAGTCTCGGGGATTTGACAGTGGCCTCGGCCACAGCGATGCGGCCCTCATAGCGCTGCCCCGGCCCACCCACCAATTTAGGTGCGCGCGGGCCGTGGGGTTGTCAACACAGCCAGCGCGTTGCTAGGGGCGGGGCCAGGTGCCGGCTCCTACGGAAGCCCTGGAATCCAAACCACGCAAAAACCTTTTCCTCACCTCTTATGCTAGGAATGGGGTTTACTTGCGCCCTCCAAGGCGGTTGAAGACTTGTGTAGATGGCAGGGGAGTGTTAACCTTAGGTTACCTTAGCCCTGGTATTTTGCGCTGGACGTTCTTAAAACGGGCATGGGTGGGGGTTGAGGGTTAAATGATGGACGACGGTATTGGAAATCGAGTGCGGTTTTTGTTATTCTAAAGTTAACAGTGGTTACCTACGTTCCTCTTTGTTTTTTTAATGACCCCCAACGAACAGTAAAATAAACATGGTTTTTAATCAAATCACTGGATCTAGAGCTATTTAACCCTTAAGAATCCCACTTTTCACAGCTGTAAAATACTATTGCTGTAAGAAGATTGAATGAATGAGATAATTTTATATAGTGGTTCTTGGTACATAATGAACACCTACTAAATGTTTAAGGTTATCATTATCTTTACTATTACTGTATTATACTGAGTAATACTACGAGAAGAGCCAGGACTTTAATGGAAAGCTTTCATAACCACCAGAGCAACTTTGGCTTTGAAAGCTTATTTAAAAATCTTTAATCTTTTTTTTCAAGCTTGACATGTGAGCTTTTATATCTTCTATAAAATGTGTGATTTAGAAATTATACAAACTCCATGAAAATAAATTTAATTTCACTTCTCAGTGTTTCTTTCCTCATTTGTAGAATGAGCAGGTGAATCAGTGAACTCTGTTTCCTTGACTAGTACAGACACTGAATGATATTTCTGGGCCTACAAGTAAAAAGAAATGGAGAAATAAAATGGGACTTACAATATGTGAGATAAGTCAAAGCTGAGAAAACCATGCTTCTTTGAGTTTGAGTACTAAATTACTCAGGTTGGCTACTGAGAACTTCCAGTCCCTCTCTTCTCAAAAATCTGTTCATTCTTCTACTATCCTCTTCCTCATTCTGTGAAACTGCACTGATTCAGGTAGCAGCAACATTTGTGGTCCAAATCTGTGGACACTTTCCTGTCCTCATCGTCTGCATTTGCTTGCAGTATTTAACACTGTTGACTGTACTCTCTCCTTCTTGAAAACCCTTCCTTGGACTTCAGCATTCTTTTTTTTCTTTACCTTTACAAATATACATTGATGTTTTTAGAGGTTCTCTCAGGCCTTTCTCAGAGATGGGTTTACTAGGTCTGTTTGCTAACACCCACGGAGGGTGCAGAGGGCAACTTGAAAATGTATTACCAATACGACTTTACTTGCTGTTACACGTTCCTGTATTCTACATCCAAAAAAAAAAAAAAAAAGAGTAAAAGGGGAAAGGATATCCTAAAGGAATTCTACAGATACTGGTTTTGTGAACTCCGCCTCCACCCCAGACACTTGAATTACAAATCCCAGCATCACCAAAGGGAAACGTCATGGGACCTGAGGGTTGAATTAAGTAGTGATGTTTGGATATAAAACTAGACATGTGGGCTTTGTGGTCTTTCTTTGGCCTTGTGACTCACAGCTTGTCTCTTGGCTTTTCACCTGCTTTCAGTGTGCTAGTGGGGTTCCAGGTCAGCAGAACTGGTAGGACGCATTAACCAACTTATCTTACACTGAGTTACTCATTTCCCTTTCTCTTGCAAATAAACCAATTATTAACCTTTTTGTGGGTGCCTGCAGTTGAATCTTATAAGTCCCTTTAAGCACATGGGTGAGAACCCAATTCACATTGGGTTGCCCTGTAACAAAACCATTTCAATCCTGTGAAAACGGCACATGAAACAAAGACACTGGCAGAGAGCTGACAAGCAAATGATTTTCTTATCCTTTGTGTGCTTATCCTGTGAACTTGGAACAAAGAAGACAAAGAGGTGGGATTGCCAAAGAAAATTTTCCACTTGAAGCAGAGCTTACCTGGTAGATGACAACTGACTGGTGTTTCAGCAATACATTGAAGCTGATAAGAGTTCATAAACCTCTGTGACCATGGAAAGTCACCTCTTCATTGGACTTAACAATATTTTCCAGAACAATGAGCAATGGGATTGCTGTTTTATTTTACTCAATTATGAAAAGATCTATATATTTATTTTTATCTTATGTCCAGAGTCCTAGTTTTCATTGCTCAATAGCCAAATTTCCCATGAATTCCCTTTTTATAGTCCTTAAAAATCCTTGAGTTGGGCCTTTCCTGGTAGCACAACGGGTTAAAGCACAGCACTGCGAAGCTAGCCTCTGCTGCTTCGGCACATTTTTTTACTTTCAAAAGCAACAAAGCTAACTGTATTCCATTCTTCATTTTGTACATTTTTCCATCTTAGCTGTAATCCCTGTGGACTTCCCACCACCAATTCACCCATGTGCCATTACCATAGTCCCGTGTGCTCTTCCCACCCCAGCTAACTATATTCTTAATGTAATTGAAATATTTAGTATTATTCTTCTGATTTTTTCCTGGTATATTTTTGCATTCTGCCTAATTTGTAGTAGAATTTTA